TGCAGTGGGCTATCATCAGCTGCTGCTGATACCCAGCTATACATCACATTAAATAAGTTTCCAGAAGCAACTGTCTCTGAGTTAGGACATTATGAAGCTGTGGTTACATGATTTAGAACACACTGAAGTGTAATCCTGACAAGACAGAGGCGATGCTGGTTGGGAAGGCTGAGATTCTGAAAGGAGTTACGTTGCCTTCTTTAGTGTTGCTTCATACCGTAATTCACAAACTCAGTTGAGCTTGGGAATCTTTTTGAAACCAGCTTGTTTTCTGGAAAAGGAGGCAAGTTAGGTGACCAGGCTGCGGTCACACGCACTAAATAATCCACTTTCAATACAATTTCAGTGCACTTTCAAACTGGATTTTACTGTGTGAACTGGCAAAATCCAGTTAGAAAGTGGACTGTAAGTGGATTTAGTGTATATGACTGCAGCCAAAGTTTCCTTTTTCATCTTCATTTGGCATGAAAGTTGTTCACTTTCTGAAGCTCAGTTGGTTTGGCCATTCTAATCCATGTTACAGGCACCTAAAGATTTTACTGCTGTAATATATGCTGCTTGGGGCTGCCATTGAAGACAACACGGAAGTTTTTGGCGCAGAATATGGTAGCTGAACTATTAGTATTTCTGCACATTATGTCAAGCTTAAGATCATTACACTCGGTGCCAATTTGCTTCCAGTTTTAATTTCATGTGTTGGCGTTAACCTTTAAAGTCCTCCTGGTCTGGTGCCCTCCTGTCTACAGGAGTGGCTCCATCCATATAAGCCTATGCAGAAGCTGCAGTCATCAGCCCAAGGCTGTCTTTAATATAGAATTGTAAGAACTGCTTTTGCTGTGTCTCAACCATTCTTGGTGGCCTCTCCTGTTCCATGAAATGACCTGCTCAAAGTATATGATACCAAGTACTAAATAAAAAGGTTTTTTTTAAAAAAAAAATGACCTACTTAAAGAAGTGAGGAAGGTCCCTACTTTGCAAAGGTTTCAGAAACTTTGTAAAGCATTCAGGTGGGTAGCCATGTTCGTCTGAAGCAGTAGAACAAAGTTGGAGTCCAGTGGCACATGTGCATGCACACAAAAGCTTATACCCAGAATTAAACTTTGTTGGTCTTAAAGGTGCCACTGGACTTAAACTTTGCTTTGTAAGGCAGAGTTACTCTGTTGTGCTTTTAATAACCTTTGATTGGAGGCTGGGTAGTTTGATAAATGAGCCTACTTTTTGTAGTTGGTAATCTATTTTTGTTCTAGTTTTAAATGTAATGTGGTTGTCATATTATGTAAGCCACCTCAGGTCATGTAGATCGGGCAAAAAGTGGAATATGAATATTCTAAACAAGCACAATATTAAATAAAAAGCTGGTTAAATTAGTACCAACATAATTAAGGTTCAGGGTGGAGAAAATTAATGTCAGCACATTATGGGTTGTGTGACTCAGTTGCTGATACCTAATTAAGGGGATGTGAAAGTGAATAACGGATCAGGGCAAAAAGATGCATTTGGGGCTACTGTGTTAAATTAATTTTTTTTTAAAAACCCCACACACAATAGCATCTGCTTCTGGAATGTAAGTGTGGCAAATATCTATTAGGAGGAGGGAACACAATAGCAACTGGTGCAGTTGGAGTAGCAATAGGTGGATAGAGGTGATTGGTGAATCAACCCAAATGAGATTTATTATTATTATTTTTTTGTAATTGGCTGACCTTTTCTCACAGTCTCAAGGCAATAGCTTCCTTGTTTTCTCTGCTGTTTTTTAAATGTCCTGTAGTCACACTGCCACAGTCTGGGGGATGACAGAGCCAGTGCCCACCTCACATGCTGAAAAGGAGCCTATAGGAAGCAGAGAGCCAAGAGAGCTGCTAATCAGGATTAGGTGACGGTCAGGCAGGATGGGATCAGGCTTGGACCAAGGCTGTTGCTCTGGTTCTACATCTTTCTGGAACTGTGGGCTCCATGATGCCACTAATGTTTCTCTGCCCCTTTCTCCTTCTAATCATTTGTTTGAAAATTAACATGTTACATCTTTAATTAGAGTTGTGAAGGTAGGCTAATTGCTGCCCCGACACTGCTGTCAAGGGAGTAGTGCCTGACTAATAAGGAAAATTTGGAGATTCTGTGTACAGGAACGCAAACCCACTAATTAACTATTTGAAAACAGATGAACAAGTGGGGGACCTGCAAGGGAGTGCAGAGGGCATCTTATTTCCCCCGTTCTACTATTTTCTCTTTCCCTTCCTTAGAAGCTCCCATAGTCTCTTCCCTTTTCCTGCTTCTTTTCCTCCTTCCCAGCCAACCCACAGTTATCAGCCCTTCCTTACCTTCTGCTCTCCCTCGTTTCCTCCCCCTAATGTTCTCTCCTTAGGAAATCTATGGCTATGTTCTATGGTGCTAGCTGCCAGGTCCATTTGTGTGGTGGAGAACCCGCAAGGACTGAGAAAGGGGCACCTTACTTTCCCCTGTATTGTCCTCCCCACAATATATCCTTCTGGCAACCCCCATATCCCCACCTTTCCATTCTTCCTTCCTACTCACTCACTGTCCTACCTTTTCTCTTTGACTACGTTTATTCATTTATACCCCACCTTTTTCCACAATGTGGACCCAAAGCAGCTTGCTGACATCATTGTCTTCTGACTCTGTGAGCTGTGTTAGGCTGAAAGTGTATGACTGACCCAAGGTTACCCAGCAAAGCTTCTGTGGCAGAGTGGGGATTTGAAACTGGGTCTCCCAGATTCTAGTCTGGAACTCTAACCACTACAACACACTGGCTTTTGTAGAGTGGCTGCTGTTGAAAAGTGGCAAGCAGCCAAGCCAGGGTGAGTCATGGAGCTTGCATGGTATCAAGTTGCCTGCAGGGCCTGGCACTGATTCCCCCTCAAAGGTCAGAACAGTCCTGGAAAGGGCCCTGCTCCCTCCTTGTCTTTTACTAACAGAAACTAACTGGAAATACTGTTGTGGTTGCCTAGCAATGGCCATTGAAGGCATTAGTTTTTGTAAGCTGGGGGCACTGCTTCTATTATTTGGGGAATTTAACCCCCAGGTTTTTGGTTTGGGGTTGTGGGGTTTTTTTAGATTTCAGATTTTTCTACAACTCTGGGGCTTTTCTCATGTTTATAGAAACATCTGTCTTGTCTGTTCATGGCTCCTGTCTCTGGATTTAAGTATCCACAGATTTGGCCATGTTGAAAATGTCTTCCTTAATGTCTTCATGGCAGTGTTTCCCTTTTTCTAATTCTTCCAAAGTTGACTCAGTTTAACAGGATGGATGTTGCTTTTTTGGCCTTGTACCTGCCAATGTGAAGAAAATACATGACTTAGTGCAGTATAGATCTGACACGTGTTGGTGTATATGGGACTGACCTACAGAGAACTGATACCAGATGCAGCTTCATACTGCTTTCCAGTCATGAATGCTGGGTCAAGATCTACTTAGGTTATATTTATGGATGTGTCTCATTAAAAACCTATGCAGTTATTACTTGTAGTTGTAATAGTGAGGAGGGACATCTCTTACAACAGGTGTATGCAGCTAAGAGACTGAGTGCTGCTGTAGGTTCTGCCCTCCTAATTAATCACTTCTGTGGCATGTAGTTCAACAGGACACTTACAAGTCAAAAGACAGATGTGTGCAGAAAGCAAAAGGAACCATGTGTCTGTTTCTTCAACAGACTCATTAGTAACCAGACTTTAGTCTCATAGAAGTGACCCTGCCTATAAACATCATCAAATTCTGCAGTACATAAGTTACAGAATAGTAATTTAAGTATAATTTTCCATGGCAGCATTCTAGTTATCATGTGTGTTTATTTACTATTGAGGATCGTAACTTCATTTTTAATTTTTATGACCAGATAACTCCATTATGTGCTTGTGTATAGGACGGGATCAAACACATTTATGCATACATGACTGCTTATCTGTATACCTTTACTTTCCTCCATTTCCATTTGAATTATAGAATGTTTTTATCAAAAATATTCAGTCTTTGTGTGTAAAATAAATTTCATTTTCATTTTTATTACAAAAAGTAACTTTCATATTTGTACTTCAGCATATGTTTGTTATGTACTGTTAAGTTTCCCCCACTTCATTATTTGCCCACTAACTCATAATTCCAGTGTTTATGTACTCATTTTCCTGCCGTTCTTACATAACTTACGTAATATACATGCACAATTGTACAGTCAAAGCACAAAACATGGTTTAATTTAACTGTGGTGAGTGTGAATGGATACAGATCCTATTCCAATCACAGTGCTTGGTTAGGATCTGTCAAACCAGGATCTGAAATCTTGGTTTGAAGTTGCTTTATTGAAACACAGCTAGTGTTCACCATGGTTTTGTGCAATGTGCAAATGCAGGCACCCTTAGCATCATCCTCCCTGGCTGCAGAACAAAGGCAATGAAACCTCATTTGTCAAGGGGAAACCAGGATTTGAGTAATCATTTGTAAGGTGAATCCTGGTTTCACAGACAATTAAAATAAACTTTTTCATTATGTCCAATCTGAGCCAAAACTACCCAGTTTAAATGACAATACCATAGAGTTTTATGGTATTAACTCTCCCAGAATACTGAAAGCAGCTCCACAAAATGTCATAAAATTAAAAGCTCACATTTTCTGAAGTTCCCACTTTCTGCCTTACAAATTAGCTGTTTCCAGGTTAGAATTATCAGGCAATTTATTTGATTAATAGTACTTGGGTTTGGAACATTATTCCTCCTGAGACTTGCAATCAGATGTTGAGAGAGCTTTTTCAAATTTGTTGTAAAAGAAACTTCGGAAAGCATTGCTAAAGCTATGCAGGGCTTTATACTATGCTCTGATTTACTCATTGGACTACTGTAACATTGGTCCAAGAAAGATTGAGATTCTAAAAACATATTGAATGGGAAACTTGAATCATAGTCCCTTAAACAATCTTGAATTGCTAATTGAATGTATCAATCCAGAATAATAAAATGTTTTGGTTTCTAACTTGCTACAAAATCTGTTGCAGGTCGCTCTTCACTTTTCCCTTTCGAAGATGGCTTCTTAGATGACAGTCATGGTGACCAGTCTTTATCATCAGGTCTCAGCTCTCCAACTCGTTGTCAGAATGGTGAAAGAGTGGAACGCTATTCTAGAAAGGTGTTCGTTGGGGGCCTGCCTCCTGACATTGATGAAGGTACTGTGCAACAATGATGATGACAGGTGGTGGGAAGAGGGAGTTATCTTCTAAAAGCAGCAAGCTGGCTAGCAGAAGAGGCAACAAAAGGCAATTTTGCTTACTTTTTCTTCCATACAGCTGCCATGTGTCTGCTTTGTCTTTTTAAGGTTTTATGTATCTATTTATTTATTAGATTAGATTTTTAAACCACCCTCCCCAGCCAAGGCAAGGCTCAGGCTCATAAACATTTAAAAACAATAAAACACAGTCGTTACTTTAAAAGATGATGCTAAGAATTTCAGTGGTGTCATTGCCTCATGGGGAGGAGTGGAGTGGACATGCCAAAGGATGTAACCGTCACTGTCCTTAACCAAATGCCTGGTGAAACATCTCTGCCTTACAGGTCCTGCGGAACTGCATCAAGTCCCACAGGGCAGAGAGTTCCACCAGGTTGGTGCGCCCTGGCTCTGGTCGAGGACAGCCGGACATCCCTCAGGCTGGGGACCAACAGTAGATTTTTATCTACTGAGCACAATGCTCTTTTGTGGGTATATCAGGAGAGGCAGTCCCAAAGATATGTGGGTCCCAGACCATTAAGGCCCTCTGTCCCCGACCTGGGAGGAATGAGGTCAGCCACTTCAAGGCTACTGCACGAACTCCTACGTTGGCGAGGCAGTGGGTCAAAAGATCATGATCAGCCATGTCAAATGCTGCTATAAGATCTAGTAATAACAGCAGCACTGACCCACCTCGGTCCAGCTGTCTGTGGAGCTCGTCTGTGAGGACAACAGAAGCCATCTCTGTCTCACGGCTGGGGCGGAAGCTGGACTGGAATGGATCCCGGGCTGACGTGTCTTCCAGGAAACTCTGGAGCTGTTCTGTTGCTGCTTCCCCAATTGCCCAAAAATTAAAGATTCATATGTGGCTGCAGGGGGTGGGGTGGGAGGCGGAGGAGGAGACAATAAAAATTGAGCTTTTCTGCTAGTACTTTGCAGGTACTTTAAGTCAGTGTTTAAAGGCATTCCACACTCAGGATTTTTAGCTTTATATATTAATAAGTAGCATCTTCAATTACATCTGGAAGACAATGGGTAGCCAATATGATATTATTGCTCATAGGTTTAGTGCTCACTTGTCTAGGCTGTTTACGTGGCTGAATGTTCTTCCGTACAAAAAGTCTCTTGCAAATTGAAAACTAAATGAGCAGGGATTTCCGCCCCCCCCCCGGAGGACATATTAGTCACATGATTTCCCAATTTTTTGTATAATTGCATACTGGGAAAACAGTGGCCTTTCTGAGGGATGATTGTCTGATAGCAACATACCATTCTAGGTAGTTTAACCCAAATTAATGTCCCTTGTAGCAAAACATTAAATGACCAAACTTAAATTTATGTGGGATATCCATTTTCAGTTCACTTAATATTTAAGCAGCCACAGAATCCTCCACTTTGGATTGGGACAGTGGTGCTGAGGATACCCACCCAACTTAAACCAGCTTTCGAGGAAATAGGACTGGGGGGGAGATAAGGGATTGAAAACTCCACCCTCCAGAGCCATGAACCTGAACATGGGGGGATGAAAACAGGGAAAGGGGGAGGGAGCTCTAAAAGACTAAAAGGTAGTGGGGAAGAACGGCATATTGCAGCAGTGCAGCCCTGCGTCATTTTGCAAGTGAAGCTCTGACTTCTGGCTGCAGGCGGACCATTTACATGAACACTTACTTGCAGCCAGCCCCCAGTGTGAACAGGAGAAAATGAGTCTGGGGAGGGGCTATAGCCAGACAACTCATGCCTAGATTAGGCACAATATCATGGGGATGGTCCCACTTACTCTGTGGGCTTCCCACTGCCTGTGCAGGGGGAAAAATCTTTATATTTATACAGTCAAAACTGGGGCCTCTTGTATTTTAATATTATAAAGAAAATACTACAGAGTTGATTGAATGGCTTCCATTGTATGAGGTAGTTTGGCTGACACTAGAGAGGAATTTGTATTCAGCAAGCTATAACTGTATGCATGGTAAAGAAACATTAAGACTGCTATACTAATTTTGATGGAATATAAAATATGGAACATTTGTATCTTTTGGGCACATATGAAATATGATGGTGAACACTTATAGAAAAGATGGGTCACATCTTGTAAATTAGGATTAAAGGCATGTCCTAAATCTGAAAAGGTTGCAAGCTATTGGTATGCAGATACTTTTTTAAAAAAAACTGACAGCATCTGCTTATTTTAACATTTTCCTTTTGATTTTCATTTTTAAGTTAGTTGTTTGTTTTGTTGTAGACGAAATCACGGCCAGCTTTCGTAGGTTTGGACCTCTTGTAGTGGACTGGCCTCATAAAGCTGAAAGCAAATCGTACTTTCCACCTAAAGGTAATTAGCTTAAATCTTTTGGATCAGGAATTTCTTTCTATGTGTGTGTCTTCTGTGCATGAATGACAAACCAAAACACATGAAATATGTTTCCATTTAGTTGCGGCTGAATGTAGATAAAACCCACAGCTCCAAGAAGGCTGTTTTTTAAATAGGACATTTTGCCAGTGATTGGTTTTAAATGTCATATCGGAGGCTCTTTGCATAATTTTTTAATCCTTTTTCCTACATAGATGCTTCACTCTTGATTTAATGGGGTGGTGGGGTGGTAGATTTTTTGTGAAAATTCTCCTTATTGCTAACTTGTGCATGCTATGATTCCATTGCAATGATACACTAGTTAGATTATAATGAAGTTAAATTTTATTTATTATTAATTTTATTTGTAATTTAAGCTATAATTTCCTATGGTATTTCCAATAAAGTGCACCAATACCTTTGAAATTAGTAGACAAGCTGCAAGTACACAATCTTTTTTGTAATATTCAATGTTAAAAATTACTGTATCTATCCTGAAGGATTTTTAATATGTAATACAACATGGCTTTTTTTAGTGAATCCTGATAATCCCCCAAAGCATATTTAACTTTCATCAAAGAATTATACAGTGGATATACAACATGAGCATGTTGATAAATCACAAAGAAAGTGCATGTGTCCATGTGAATGAAGTCATGAGTTAGTATCCAGAAAGTTATGGCTTCGTTGTGTTTTATTTATCCAAGAGATCTTGGGGTAAAACCAGTTTCCATTTTGGCCTGGTCTGTTTTTGATGTTCCTTTAATAAATATCTGATTGTTGCTGATCTATGAAAGGACTAAACTGTAACTCTTGGAACTGTTCTACATTTGAGGAGACTAAAGTAGCACCGTCATGCTTATAAAAATGTTCTTGAGTAAGATATATTTTAGCAGAAGACAAGGGAACAGTCTCTTCCTATTTTTATCGTCGTTCTAATATGGGAAACAGCTTTCAAAGCCCCTGCCAGTTGCCCTAAATGTCTGTCTGAAAGTGCTAAACAACACTCAGCCACAACTGTTCCAGATTATTTATATCTGGCTTCTGAGCTATCTGTCAGGGCTTTCAGTATAAACCCTGCAGCATGATTATCCTGAAATCTGTTGGTCAAGTAACCTTACAATAGGTGGTTAGTTTGCAAAAACCTGCTTCCTTACATGAGAATATGCAAACACACTGGCCATACTGAAACCCTCTGGGAACAGTCTTTGTTGTGGTATCTCCTGCCCTTCCTAACCATCTTTTTATTCTCTGCCAAGGCTGTTTAAAATATAACCTTGCATTGGTTTCTTAAATGTAACCACTATATAGAATCACAGAGCTGGAAGAGACCATACAGACCACAGGTGGCCAAACTTGCTTAACATAAGAGCCGCACAGAATAAACGTTCGAAGTTTTAGAGCCACATGACGTGAACAAGTATTACAGACATGTTTTTATTGAAAAATATGCAAATATGCTTGTTAAAATTAACATTAAATGAGACTGCCAAAAACAAAAACAAAAGGGATAAAAATAGATATTGATAATGATATTTATGTGTCCAATGATATTTGTAGGCTGGGAGAATGCATTTAAAGCTGAAGTTGCTTTCTTTCTCTGCTCCCCCCCTCCTCAAGCCTACCCAGGAAGGGGAACACTGGCTGGGGGAGGGAAGACTGATCAGGGAGGCTGAGGCATGCTTCCCCTTCACTTCCCCAGCTGCCCTGCCAGGAGCCACACAGTATGTGTGAAAGAGCCGCATGTGGCTCCCAAGCCACAGTTTGGCCACCCGTGATATAGGCCATCTAGTCCAGCCCCCTGCTCAATGCAGGATCAGCCTAAAGCATCCCTGACAAGTGTTTGTCCAGCTGCTGCTTAAAGACTGCCAGTGAGGGGGCAGTCTTTAACTAACATCAATTAGTTGAAAGCAGCAATTTTGAAACTAAGCTCTTCTTTTGAGCATTTGGTTTTCTTGTGGCTTATGCCCATTTTTACAAAAAAAATTACCTCCATTGAATAACATGCTATGCTACTTTCACCCTCTGTGTCCTGTATGTTCCAAGTCACTTCTCATCCATTTTTGCAACACTTTGGTGTCGTCATGTTCCTCATATGGGGGGAAGGGGCACTTCTGTGAAAGACTTCCCAGATGCAGTTTCTCTTATTGGCTACAGCACTATGTTGCAAGAAGTTGCACCTGCTGAGCTTCTCCATATCACCCAGCAGCTAAACTTACCCTTTGATGAGGAGCTGAAAACCCCCACAAAGACCTAGGCTTTCTACACCTCTGTACTCCCATTTCTTCTTTGAGTTTTATGCTAGTTGTTGTGGGAAGTCTTCGGTGTATTGCTGGGAAAAATTATTCACAGAGCCTGTTGGGCTGCTTCACGGTGAGGTTCTAACATTAGGACTGAAGCCAGATCATGCAGGCCATCTGTTACAGAATGGGATAGCCCAGTACATGAAGAGAATCTCCAATATATTTAGGGTTCCTAAGTTAGCTTTGCAGTGGAAACTTGACAAAGGGGAGACAGGTTTTGGTACTGCATTTTGGGTCACCAGCTTCTACCACCACCAAGTTGTTGAAACCCTTTCATTTGCTACCAGCAAGGTACCCACCAGCCTCAACAGTTAGGTTTAAATAAATTCCAGTCTGCCCAGGACGGAGGGGCATGAGAACTGCAAGGAATCAAGTTCTAAAGTATGTCAGCTCTCTTCTCTCTGTCTTTGTCCCCTTTCCCAGCCTACATTGCCAGAGCTTATTGACTCTGGATCCAAAATCTTAGGCCTCCTGCAGCTTTTAGAAAGAGAATAGCTAAATCTCCTGCTTCTATTGCTGTCAGTCAAGCTTCCCACATCTTGCATGTTTGCCTGTCTTCCTGTTACCATGGCAATAGATAACCATCTAGGACCCATTCTACTTCCCCTTCCTCCTCAGGCTGATTTCCTTTATCAGGTTCTCTTATGTGTTGGGTATTAGTTTTGCTTCTTTTCCATATGTTACCCATAATTTTTCACCACCATGATGGTCATCAGTTGCTTCATTCCACTTAAATCTGGGACAATGAAATGCAGCTTGTGTCTCTTTCTTCTCCAGTGGAGGGAAGAAGGATGCAGAGATGCTGTAAGCATTGAGAAAGGCATCTTGATGGTAAACTTGCTGCCTATTTGCAAATGCTCTTCCTCTCCAAGCTGTTCCAGTGCTACATGCAGACAAGCTTTATGTGGTTGCTTGTGCTTGGTCTTTTCAAGTGATACAATTAGGGCTGCCAAATTCCCCCGGGGGGTGGATTTCCCCCCCGCTTTGGAGGCCCGATTTCTGCCCCCGCGGAATCGGGCCCCTGGGGAAACCCCACCCCCGCGTGCATGTCACCCGGATGTGATGTCGCACGCTGGGGGCGGGGCCACAGCCATTTGAGGGGAAAACATAGAGTTTTCCCCTCAAATGGCAACTCTATGTTTTCCCCTCAAATGGCTGTGGCCCCGCCCCCAGCATGCCCGGCGTCATGACGTCACATCCAGGTGACGTAGATGCGGCGTGCGCGCTTTGCGCGCGTGCGCACCAGGAGCTGCCCAGGAGTCCCCCGCCAAGGAGGTGAGTGCCATTTGGCAACCCTAGATACAATTGATGTACATTATTCCATTTTTGAGGAGATTTATTCACCTGGTTCATATTCTCCTAGTTTTAGAAGGTTTGGAGAAGTCTGTATTGAGCTGTGGATTCAGTTTATAAAGCTGTAGTTATACTGTTTCTGTGTGTTCAACCCCTTCCTCGCTCTAAAATATTGTTTTATGAAACTATTGCGGTTCACAGGACAAGTTAGGTATAAGAAACTGGGATGTTTAAGAATTCAGGATGAAGCAAAAATCTCCAAAAATGTATTAATTTTTTAATAATATTCCTCTTGTGTTCTAAGTTTTCAAAGCAAAAAATAGTACAGATGCTGTTAAGTGCAGTGATCTAAGCACAGGGTACCATTTTTCCTAGGGAGTAACCCTTTTTGCTTGTCTGCATCAGAAACACCAAATAATTTTATAGCACCTTAATTTTTTGGATACTTTTTCCCTTTGAACGTTCTGTCTAATACATATAGGATGAAATGTAATTTAATTGCTTTTTTACTAGTAGGTCACTTTCTCTGCTTATCTCAGCAGCCTGTGATTGGGAAAATGCTAGCAAGAGCTGCAAGTGCAGAATGGGGGTAGGGGACAGGGGCAAAGAAAGCGCTTGGTTCTGCTTTCCAGCTGCCTTAAATTACTGAGAAATCCAGTGTGGTGTAGTGGTCAAGAGTGCTGGACTATAGCTGGTGGTACCACTTCAAATCCCCATTCTATCACATGTGATGAACTGAGCTCTGACTCTCCAAAGTTTATCTTGGAATACATTTGTTTGCCTTTAAAGTGCCACTGGACTTCTGTTTTATCATGTTGCTGCCCACTAAATTGGCTACATCTGAATTTGCAAAGCTTATTGGATAATTCTGGGGCCACAACCATGTACTGTACCCTGAACCTCCTGGATGAAGGACAGAATAAAAATTGAATAAATACATTAATAAGTGACACTAAAATATGAATGTAAAAAAAATCAGGGCTCTTTTTGGGCAGGAACGCACAGGAATGGAGTTCCGGCTGGCTCCTGAGTTGGCCACGCCCAACAGCAGAAACTCATTAGGATTGGCTACATTAGGGGTGTGTGGCCTAACATGCAAAGGAGTTCCTGCTACAAAAAAAGCCCTGGGTTTTGACAACAAACAAGGTAAACAGAATAAGAAGGGAAAGGTGGGTGTGGCTGGATGACCACACTTCTGGTAACATGGGGGTGTGGCCTAATGTGCTAATGAGCAGTGCTATCAGTGCTAATGCGTTTTGCTGTTGGGTGTGGCCTATTATGCTAATGAGTTCCTGCTGGGCTTTTTCTACAAAAAGAGCCCTGAAAAAAATTAAGTCTTTTTTCACTATGCTGAATTTTTTTTTAAGAGATTTTTATTTTTTGAAT